GCTTCGCATCCAATTTGGCTCCTATATTAGGTTACAGAGTTAAAATCCTTGGATTTTGCCTCCAGCCCGACTTGAACTGTTGACCTCGTCTGTGGGAAGTTGGCAGCTTAACAATTAAGCTATGGAGCCCAACCCTCAGTATTAAAATTAGACACATCATATTATAATTGCAAAGAAATTTGCATTCAATAAAACTAACAAAATTGTGTTAAAAACAAAAAATATAGTTAAGTTTATGCATGTTTTTTTTACAAAAAAATAAGTTACTAGAAATGAAAATACTTTATTAATAATTTAAGAACCAGCTCAGATACTAGTCAAAATAAGCATAGTAAGAACAATAGAAAAAAAAAGAGATGCAACAATAATACAACAATAAGGTCCAGTTATTGTATAATTAATATATTAATATATACAAATATTAATAGATAATATGAAGAAAAGAAAATAAATAAATAAAATAAATAATAACAGAATGCAATATATAATATATAAAAACAAAACCAAATAATGTTATAATGATACAAAGAAATAAAATAAGTGTCTAATCTAACAGATAAGTATGCAGTTACAAAAAAACATACATATAGACAAATATATGAATTATTAGTCAATTATCAATAATTGCTATAATATAATAAAAAAAATTTAAATTAATAAACTAATAAACTAATACAAATATTCTATAAACAATAAGCAACAAATAGTTCTTTATTATGCATTACATTTTAAACTATTATAAAATATAATAACATGTAACTTGCTATCTATTTAGTTAATAAAGAAGATATATTTAATATTTCTTTATAAAACATATTTATGAATTTAAAGAAAATTTAAACACTATTACAAATTAATCCAGATACAATTAATTTTGTAACAGTAATCAATATTAAGACATTTAAGACACTAACAAGTCAACATTCTAACTATCTTTTTATAAAATATCTTATATAAGATATCAAGAAAGACTTTAAATTTAATTTCTCAAACTCATATATAAAAGGATTTAAGAGAACTTAAAATTAATTTATTTGAATAAAGAAGTATTTGGTAAATACATCAAAGATAAGATAAAAAAAGGCTGAATGTGTATTTTATTCTTAATAGAACAACTCTATTTTACTAATATTAAATGAATATCTGTAATTTGATTGAGAAGAAAAGCATAATATTCAAAATGTTATACATCATATTTTACCTGTCATTATTATTTAGTTTAAATGTTAATAATGATATTAATTTGTAACAAGATATAAAAATATAAGTTAACAATAAAATAGGTCAATTATTATAGAAAAAAATATGTTCTATCAAAGATTAACATTAAGAATACATATTGTATACTTTTTGTACACTTAGTAGATCAGGTTTTATAAAGAATAAAACTGGATTTTGACAAGGCCTTGGCCTTTAACAATAGAGCATTTGGAGATATTTTTTTTGTAAGTTTGCAAATGTAATCACATAAATAACTACATAATAAGGCATTAGATTAATAATTCATGATATAAATAACTTTTTAATAATATTAAAACCTAACAGTTAAAAAAAGTACAGAAATTTTTATGAATACTTAATATAATAAACATCACATTTAGGAAATCTAGGTTCAAAAACCCTGATACAAGCATAACATTTCTAGAGATTACAATAAACACAAAAACAATGTTGTATCAGTGCCATCTCAAAAATGATAAACATTTCAGAAGTTATTTGAAGACTGAGCTACTAAAAAAATGATGCTACAAAAAAGACCTTCAATTAATTGTTGGTTTATTAATGTGGATGTGCCAGGTGCTTCCCCAATAAAGACCATTTGTACAGTGCCTGATAAAAGCACAAAAGAAAGTTAATAACCCAAACATCATGTACAAATAACTAACCTTATGATACAAGATTTCCAATAGTGGTTTAGCATAGTAAAAAAGTAACCAAGCACTTATTTAATAGAAGATCAAGAGTGACAACAGCCTGAAATATACAACTTATACACAGATGCATCAAATATTGGAGGTGGGACAACTTTTGAGACCTACTTCACCCTATTTAAGTGATCCTATCAGGACATAACCATAAACTATAATATCCAGGAACGTGAACTACTAACTACATTTATAGTAATCTGCACTTTTTTACCACTTTGGTCCAGAAAATAGCTAATCATATAAACTGAAAAATGTCAAATGCAGAAGCATATTACGCTGGCTTCTATAAACCCCCAGAATCAAAATCATAGCCAAAATTTACTAAACTCATATTCATCAGAATTTTTCAATAAAATTAGAACATATACCTAGAAAACAAAACAAAGAGGCAGATTTATTATCACGATGCGAACATAATGAATATCTATTAAAAAACCAATGACACAGCATCTCCAACATTGCATCCCGACTAAATACACTAACATGATCTCATTTATCACATCGCTACTACAATAAACCCGAACAAGTCAACCGACCAAGTACAAAATGTACAAAGAAAATCCAGAACAATCAACAAAAGAGACAAGAGAATGATGGGAAAACTTGACTTCAACGGAAATAAACCACTAGATCAACAAGCAGCAGACATTCTGAATCTCGACCCACCCAAACACAAGACCTATGAAGCAATAATTAGTCAGTATCATGATCTAGCAGAAGAAAACCAATAGATGAACAATAATGGAAGCATATGGCCCATATCCAAAGAAGCCTTGATTAAATTTATCAGATCGATAAGCGACAAAATCTCTCTTCCTACAATCAATTCTTACCTGTCAGCATTAAAATTTCACCACACAAGGAACACCCATAATTGGATGCCAGTGCGGAGTGGCCCACTAGTAAGAGAAATGATCAAAACAATCGATGCAAAAATAGTCACAAACCAGTAAGACAGAAAAACATACATTACAAGGGCCCACCTGAACAGAATAAAACACAAACCTTCAAAAATCAGATGACATACTCTTCTGAACAGTGGCACTAACGGCATTTTATGGACTAGCACACCTCGGAGAGCTTCTCCCAAACTGCAAAGCTGACAAAACCAAGGTTCCACAATTAAAAGCACTGAGGTTTGAAAAAATCAACTCAGTAACATTTGCAACGATCCAACTGGCCAGAACTAAAAACCACAAATCGGCAAACAGAACATCGGTAATAATAAACCCAACAAAAGTCAATCTGTGTCCTATTAGGTCTCTAAATGCATACATTATCCACCGCACAGGCCACAACTATGCACCAAACGACGACACACCGTTTGTAAAGGCTGATAACTCATGGGCAGCTAAGCAGTGGTTCATCAATAAACTACAGTCAATCCTACCTAATGCTGATTTATCAGGTCACAGCTTCAGAGCTGGCGGCACAACAGAATCAGTAATGCGGGGTATGCAACTGATAATGATTCAGAAAATTAGACGGTGGAATTCAGACTCATTCTACGGGTACATCCGGCACACCTTAACATGATTGCCTACCTACTGATGAAAGCATATAACGTACAGACTTCTCCTAACTAGATCTTTGGCACGAGCTTAGTCAGACGTCACATGCAAAGAAAAAAAAAATATGTGAAGGGAGAGGAACCAATAATAGCAACAGACAAGTAACGACGCATGAATGTGCACATAAAGAATAATACGCAAAAAAAAAAAAAAAAAAAAATACAAAAAACAAATAAATAAATGTAACACAAGAATAATGATAACTCAACGCGCAAGAAATGGCAGAACCACAGAAACTTTGGACGATCACGTGGTCCTGCCATTTCTTCGCTCTCATTTCTCTGCTCTCATTAGGAGCCTAAATATCTCTGCTCGCAGCCTGCTTGCCTCGGCAAAGCGGGAAACCACCGGCTTGTTAATCCTGCGGTGACTCCCAGCTCAATAATGTTGCAAATTTCTCGGGATGTCTTTGCCGTTCCTGGTCTATTAATTACTCTATGTCATAAAAAATCACCTCCGGCCTAATAAATAATTGCCGGCTTAGCACAAACTATAGTATAATGTGTGAAGCGATACTTTTCGAAAATATTACAAAATTCATGTGATAAACCCGAATTATTAAAACCGGTTCCAACCTCTAGTTTATGTCGTTATAACTTATTGGCTATCAATTAGATCTAATAATTAATAGTCAAATAAACTTATATTTTTCAAGTCATCCAGTTGGTATTTGTATCTATTATTGTCTATATAATAGATAATTTTCCATTCCTGGCCTGGTTTTGGCGCAACGCTGTTGCGCAGCTACCTTATTGATTAGTAATCGATTTCAAACCACCTTACTTCCTTTAGTATTAAATTTAACTCCGATTCAGCTACGTATATAAATGTACTCTAATGAATCTTATTATTTTAGATCCAGTCAATCGAATTAATAGTAAACTGGTGCGTTAATTACTGATTTCAGTAACTAATTGTTAGTTTAAGGTAGTAATATTATCGGCGATCGGCCTACATAATTATTTCATGAGTAGACAGACATTTTGTCGTCACTAGTTACGACTTATTTTAAATTGGGTTTTTTATATTGAGGTAATTAAGTTACAACCTAAATAGATGTGAATACCGTATTCTACCGTAAATAAGCACCACACCCTCTACCCCATTTTTTTAAATGCCAGATTAGCGGAAATAACTTGGCTAAAGATCTCATTGCAATGTCCGTTAATCTGACATTTAAAAAAATGGGGTAGAGGGTGTGATGCTTATTTACGGTAGAATACGGGTATGTATTCAAAATAAACGTATAAAATAAGCTTCTTCTCAAAAAATCAGACGTATTACAAATTCATTAATTCATTAAAATTAGAATGTTTTTAAAAAATCTATTTACTCTTTGGCATTTTGCCATATTTATTGCCATTTTGATAAATCAGTCTCTTGGATCTGAAGATTTGATTAAACGAGACGTGTCTCTGGACAGAAATAATGTACCAAAGAATATACTCGTTACTTCCATGGTCGGAAGTAAGTTAATTATTTTTATTATTGCTATTATATAATATGGTCATTTTTATTCTTATTATTATTCATAATACGTATAATTTATTTTAATCATTACAGGAACACATCTTCGTTATATATTGGAAATCTGCAAGATTTTACAGGATCGAGGATACAACGTATGATATTTATTATTTATTTATAATTTATCTATAATTTATCTTACTTATTTATTCGGCCTTTAGATAACATTAATATCTCCAGGAAATTATACAGCGCAATCCATTTATTATCGTTCAATTCCACAAGTTATTTTCGAGAACGATTATATTGGTCTCGACAGTAAATCTTCTGAAGTAAATAAAGCTTTCCTTGAAGATGGTTATGAAAAATTATTGGCCAAAGTCAGAAAAATCTCTGTTCAATCCTACGTGCCTTTTTATAATATCTATACAAAAGTTGCCGAAGAAATCAACGCTGATTTATTTTTTTGCGACATCTTAATGAACTACCCGTGTTTTGATCTCGCTTGGAAATTAGGAAAGCCTGCTGTAGGAATTGACTGTGGTTTTAGTTGTAAGTGCATATTAATACTATTTACTATAAATTTCCATTCTATAAAGAATGCGTCTAAATAATACGATTTTCTTTTTATTAGTAATTAAACCTCCTCCATCATATATGTCGGATCCTATACATGGATGTCATGCAAATATGGAAAATGAATCTTTCTATAACAGATTTAGATGCGAGATCCTAGTACCTTTGAAATTGACCTGGAAAGTGAGGAGTACTATAAAGGGTCTTAATGCTCAAAGAGCAATTGTAGATGTAGAACCACATGATAACATGTTTGGACGTACATCAAATACTTTAATGTTATCCAATAGTTTCTATGGGTTTGAGGTGATTATATAATTAATTCTTTGGTTATTATTTAGAAATTAACACAATCATATATATTATTTTAATTATTATAATTATAATTATTATTATACAGATACCGCATGCTAATTCACCACTCTATCAAGAAATTGGACCTGTTCTACCTGACACCTTTCCAAGTTTAACACCAACTCTCGAATCATTTCTTACTAATCATCCTCGAACAATATATTTTGCTCTTGGGACTATTGTGTTCATATCTCCTCAAAACGTTATCACTCTTTTAAAATCTTTTCTTGAATTAATCAATCAAGACGTTATCGATGGTGTTATATGGTCTACTGTAAGAACGGATACCTCAGATTCTCTTCAATTGGCTAATTCTAGCGCCCAGATATCTTCTATATTAAATAATAATCATCCTCATATTCATGTCTCTAAATACTCTCCTCAATACGCTATCTTATCTCATGAAAATACCAGAGTATTTTTAAGTCATGGTGGTGCGTCTAGTAGTCATGAATCTATGTATACTGCAACTCCAATGCTCGTGCTTCCTATAATGGGTGATCAACCTTCGAATGCTGAAAAGTTAGAGTTGGCTGGTATGGCTTTGAGAATTTCAAAGTGGGATTTAAATGTCAATGATATAGTATCAAAAGTTAAGAGATTATTAAATGAAGAAAGCTTTAAAAAGAATGCAGAAAGATTACAATTTTTGGCTAAAGTTAATAGTAAAAGAAAGTATAGAGCAGCTGATTTAATTGAAATAGTGTTGAATACGGTAAAGTATGAAGGAGTTGAAGATGAAAATGGTAGATTTAAAATCAATAATGAAAATTTATTGAGAGATTGGATTACACCTGATTTGAGAATGGGTTTTATTAGGGGAAAGTATTTAGACGTTTATGCTGTTGCTATTATTCTGTTTTTAGTGTTATGTGGAGTTTTTGGTTATGCTTTGTGGAAAATTGCTAGATACACTTATATTAGATTTAGTGAAAATAGGATTTCTCAAAAACATTTAAAGCGTAAAGGAGAGTAGTTTAATATGCTTTAAAATTATGGTTTATCATATATTTTATTTCATTGGGTTTTTTATCTTTATCTTTTCGTTTATAAAATCTTTAGCTTTTCGTTTATTATATGATTTAGTCCACGCAATATCAATTTTTTTCGTTTTGTATTACTCGCTGTCCCAAATTTTATTAAACATGTATGCGTAAGTAGTGGTTATTTTAAAATGTAATCCATTCGCCATTTTTCTGCATTTTGTAGAATCCTGTTATTTTCCTAATAAGATCGAATTTTTTTGATTCAAATGAGAAAGGAGGAGGAAAATTTTGACAACTTATATGCCACAGTGTTTTGAATTAATCATATTTGCTAACAAGAATCGTTGGTAAAGATTATCCAGTGCTGTTGCAATTGGTCAATTTTGAAAAGGAGTCATTAAATTTTGAACGGCCTAATCACATACGTATCGACAGTCGATCAGCTGTAATCTATGCTGATATGTGCAATAAAGTGCATTTAATAAAGCATTAATAAATTTCAATTTTTATTACTATTCAACTTTAATAATCTAAAACCAAATGGTTTGGAGTTGATTAGGTTAAGGAATCCGAAACAGTGTTGGCAGTAGATTATGCCCATTAAAAGTATGTTTGCTAATGGACCTCAATAGGGTTTCAAAGTTAACAAATGAGTGGCGGAGATTCCCATTTAACGAAATAAAAAATCATTATTTCAAATATATCGGAAAATGAAATAAAGTTGATACATCGCTTATTTGAAAATAAATACGTCATCTATTTCTGTCAAAATTAGATTTTCGCACGTTAATTTTGAAACCCTCTATTAGGGATTTCAAAGTTAAAATGCGAAATTTAATTTTAATTGAAACTAGATGTTACCCGTTGCTTTGCTTCCAGTTTAAAATTTTTTTTCAGTCTATAATTATAATTAACTTCATATTTTACAGATAAAATTAGTTTTTAGGTCAAGTTAAACTTGACCCAGGTCAAAATGACCCCAAAAAAATTTTAGGGTTAGTGGGGCCGGAATATGTTGATGTCGGGCAAGGTTTTTTAATTGATTAATTTGACCTGGTTCAAGTTTGACTTGATCTAAAAATTAATTTTGCTCGTAACGTGTATACAATACATAATATAAATTAAATATAATATAAGGGCAGCTAGTGGTTTAGCGATGAAGTATGTTCCATAACTGATAAAGATAAAGAACGCCCATCACTGACTGGATTTACAAGTAGTTTGGTGACTTATCATAACTTTTCCGATATTTTACCAATGGTAACTTACTATTTATAACCCAAGTAATTATATCTGATCAGTATAGTATAACTTTTATTTTGAGCCTATACTATACTGATCTGATATAATTTCTCGCAAATTGCCGAAATCTTTGATCATACAGTCTACTGTTCTAAGATTAATGTTGGTAAAATTAATCTTAAGTCCGCAATAGTTTGGATATACTGTAACTTTCCCGGTAATTTACAAATGATAACTTACTATTTACAACCCTGATGGGAGTGTTATTGAATGGGATATATTAGTGAATCAATCAAAATTCGCCGATCGACCAAATTTAAGGGTGAAATAGACCGGAATTGATAACTTTCCTCCAAAATCACCAAACATTTTACTAATAAAATGGTAGTCCACGTACTAGTCAGATGATAATTTTCAGGGCTTGTTGCTTAATGCCGGTCTAGCACCCGACCCTACCCTAAATTTTAGTTGACCACAAGCTATTTCTTTATTTGCTATGATTATCGTTACACGATTTAAAAAATTATATTAACGTTAACGTTAACTGTTACTAAATAAGTAGCTGCACGACGTTGTCACGCAAAACCGTCATAAGTTTTTTGTTTGCTTAACTTTTATAAGTTTTATTTGCAACTTTAAATTAGATTATATATGCAGTAGGTCGA